GAATTAGGGTAGCTGAGACTCAAAATAAAGAAAATATTTTTAACAGCTTTCCATGGATTTAATGAAAAGGATTCCATAGAAAATGTGAGATTAGTAAGTATACTAGAAACACAAAAAAATATTTATCCTGTATATACTTAAGAATGGTTTTTAAGGAAGGAGAAAAGTTAAAAAAAAAAAAGAAAAAGAGCAATTTTCAGTATGGTTTACATTCCATACAAATTATCTGGGTTGAGGGCTACCATGTGACCTGAGGTTTTGAGAGTTTAGTCTATATAGATTGTGAATGCTAAACTCCTCTACCACATTCTAAGCCACTGTTCTCACTAAATATTCAGGTCCTTAAACATACCTTAAATATGCCTGCCCTCCTTGCACCTTTTTAAGTAGTTTTTGTTATACCAAGAAGTTGTGTAGCTTCCTTAAAATTCTGAATTTGCCCTGCACCAAGCAACAGTGTATACAACAATGCATTACCTGTACTTCAGATTAAACAAGAATATACTAGAATGTGTCTGCTCTGAAAAAGCGCACCAGCTCAAATAAGTTTGGAAAATAGTAAGTCAAACAAAGCTAAACAACTCTTTTAATGAAAGGACTTCTCAGAGTCCCTAATTTGTTAATACATACTGAAAAAACTGAAGAGTATTAGTATCTAAAAATTATTTGCCTGTAAAATACGTTTTTTTCAAGACATACTAAGCAGAGAAAAGCAGTAACCTCTGCACATATCAGTTTCAATTTCTTCCTCTGGCTCATATGTAATTTATTCTTTCTGAACTACCCATATAATCAGGAAAAAAAATGTATACACCCACACACAAATGTGTACATATCACCAGGTGCAAGTTTTCAAACCAATAATCTAAACTCTAAACATAAGTAACATAAGTAAACAAAAGGCTAAACCATCAAGGTAGCTCCATATCCTCTGATTGGCACATCAGTACCTCCTCTTGGATCGCTCTCTGCTCCTATCTCTAGAACTGTGACGACTTCTCTGGTGACTACGGCTCCGGCTGCGGCTGCTGGAGCGGGATCTGTGGCGATGGCGTTTCTCCCGAGACTTGGATCGAGTCCTCCTCTTGCGTTCTCGAGACATAGAGCGAGACCGGTGTCTGCGATGCTCTCTGGACCTGGATCTACAAAAAGATTTTATTTCATTTTATTATAATTTTGTAAGCAATACATTTATTATTTACTAATGCCTGTTCTTTAAAGAGAAATTATTCCTTAGTAGCCTGTCTTACTGCCAATTTTATTCCAAATCAACTCAATTTATACTAAAATAAATTGCTATATGTTAACACCTGCAAACAAGAAAATACCAATTCTGAGAGGTCAATCAGTATTGTGTAAATTTACTTCAGGAATATAACAAATGAGAGCAACAATCTTCACAACTACTACATGCTAGGAATTATAATGTCTAAATGCTTTAGGAACTTAATTGCATTTAGACTAAGAATTTTTGAAATATATTAGAAATTAAATATGTACCTGATGGACATGGACAGAAGGAAGGAAGGAGAAGCATGAGAAAGAATACTATTTGGGATAAATTATCCTCTCTGAATTGAAAAGGCTATATGACCACAGATGTAAGTTTTAAATACCCACAGTATAATAGATCTCAGTGTAATTAAAACAGTGAGGTAGTTCTCTACTCAAGTAGCACATAACTGGAGAGGGGGAAAAAAATTATGCAAAAAAATCACTTTTGAGAACTTTACCTAAGCTGGGGTGGGGGGTTACTAATAAGTATATAAGAGTAGAGACGGAAAAACACTTCTGTACTCTCAACCAGATCACTTGCGTGGAAGGGTAGAGGTGACATGCAGAGAACAGAAATATTTGAGGGAAACAAAGAGGAGAGAAAGGTGTACTGTTTGATTTAAAAAGTTGCTTTCAGGGGGCTGGGATTGTGGCTCAGTGGTATGTCGCTTGCCTGGCATGCGTGCGGCCCGGGTTTGATCCTCAGCACCACATACAAACAAAGATGTTGTGTCTGCCAAATACTAAAAAAATAAATATTAAAATTCTCTCTCTCCCTCTCTCTTTAAATAAATAAGTAAGTAAGTAAGTAAGTAAACATTGTGTCCAGTTACAACTAAAAAATAAATATTAAAAGAAAAACTTTAAAAAAAATTGCTTTCAGATGGCGCGGTGGCGCATGCCTATAATCCCAGTGGCTTTGAAGGCTGAGACAGGAGGATACAGAAATCAAAGCCAGCCTCAGCAATGGCAAGGTGCTAAGCAACTTAGTGTTACCCTGTCTCTAAATAAAATACAAAATAGGGATAGGGATGTTGCTCAGGGGTTGAGTGCACAAATTAAAAAAAAAAAAATGCTTTCAGAGTGATGAAGTTGTTCTAAACTAGTATGTGGTGATAGTTGCATAGCTTTAAATTTATTAAAAATCACTGACATGCAAATTTAAACTAGGTAAATCTTATGGTATAGAATGTAAATGATAAAGTGGTTTAAATTTTTAAAGTGCGTTGAGAATGTGATATTTTCTCATAACTTGATATAGTACATTCAAAAACAAATTATTCAGATATAGTTTACACTAAGTTCATTTTCAAATGATTATTTTATATAAGAAATGAAGTTGAAAAGCTTTCAATTTCTGTCCGCGTTATAATCAAAGAAAGGTAAGTAATGTGGACCTAACATCACAGCCAAACAGAGTATTTCCACAACTGAAGAGTGCATTCCAAAAAGGAGCAGAGGAAAAGAAATGTAAAATTCACTAAATAAAAATTTTATCAAGTAACATTTTGTTTAACTACTCATTTGGATCTATTATGAATCCTTTCTTCCAATGCACATTTTTATTCAATTTTAAAATAAGTACAAGCCAGGAATGGCAACACACACCTATAATCATAGCTATTAAGAAGGCCGAGACAGGTGAATTCCAAGTTTGAGGACAGCCTGGCAATTTTTTTTTTTTTTTAAAA